ATAAGAAGGGCATCGCGAGTCGAGGGTGCTTCAAAATTGGAGCTCGTTGGACTCGCCGAGCCTAGTCGAGTCGATCCTCGGGCTGCGCTCGCGATGGAAAGCGAGGATTTGCATTCGAAAACACAGGCTTAGCTCGTGTGGGGCGCGGGATCGGAAAGCACGACGCGTTTATCGAATCTCGGAGTAATATCGGTAGGCAGACGATCGATCGACCACCCACGAGATACTTTCGAGAGCAGCGGAGACGGTACCGGTTCGAGGTCCGCGGAGAGTCGATGGGTCGAGAAAGTTCTCCTCGGTCGAGGAAGATCGAAAGCGTCGGATCGGAAAGGAGCTTGCTCGAGTGTTCCACGATACGCGACAAAATGTCGGAATAGTTAGCCGATGAAACAAGCAGAGTGCAGGTCCTTTGATTTAGTTGAAACTTTGAAGAATTTTATTCTCTCCTCCCCGTTTTTCGAGCAAATTGCGAAATTATCGCACGACGAACGTGAGAAATATCGATTCCAATTGCGGTGGAGCTGAACACTCTGCCACCGTTGGTCATCATCCGAGACCGGATGATACGAGAGCTCATACTCTCGGTGTACCCACGGTGACTCGTGGTCATCGGTGACCAAAGTGCCATAATTACTCAGGACGCGAATATCATGGACTCCGAAATTTTGAATCCCACAAACCACAAATCACTACCAAGTAAATATTACGCAAATTTAATAGTATCCACGGTTATTTGAAGTCGTCTCTGGCAGCGCGTATCGTCCTGGGCCTGCTAGCGGACCCATCGGTAAGGCTACCTAGCAGGCCCTGCCTTACAAGCGGAGTGCAAGTCCTTCGAGTCATCGATTTAGTTGAAACTTTGCGGGTTTGTAGATTTAGTCATGCAGTTCAAGTACCGTTACCATTATAAGGGCGACTACTCGATAGTTTTTGAGATATTTATGACTAAAGCTTTATTATTCTTAATTACAACTAACATCCCGAAAATTGCTACCACCAGCGTGGGAATTTTGGGATTAATGACTTTTCGCCATTAGACCACAACACGGCACTTGATAGATATTCGAAATAAATTTGTAATTATGGCAATAATAAAACTCTAATCATATCTCGAAAACTATCGAGTAGTTGCCCTTATTGCCCTTTTTGTCCTTAGCCATCCAGTTCGAGAAGATGTACCATAAGGGCAACTGCTCCATAGATTTTGGAATATTTATTTATTTATTTATTAAACGAGAAAAACCCATTAGAATACAAAGAAAATGAACGCATGCGGAGCTTACAAGTTTCTTGAAATAGAACTGCGGCAAACATCCAGAGAAACACCAAAAAGTTCTATTGCTTGATCATTATTATTTGCTAAGGAAGCGATTCGACATGTAGGATCGGTATTTGAGAATCGTGATTTGTAACAAACAGGCCGGAACGTATGTGATGTTCCAAACGCTCTTTGAGGTATTTGTGATCAAAGCTCTATTATCCTTAACCAGAGAGATTTCTTCCGAATAGTTGTTGATAGTTATCAAGTGCCATTGTGGTCCGACAGCAACATCCGAAAATTGCCACCAGCGTGGGAATTTCCGGATATCGTCATTAGACCACAACGATACTTGATAAATATTCGAAATAAATCTGTAATTGACCTTATTTAGTTCCACGAAATCCCGGCCTAAACGGTAGGCGTCAATGTTAGCTCGAAAATAGTCGCAACGCGATCTGAAATGTAAATACGCGAGATATAGTCAGTTTTACGCGAAACTACTGTCGTGCAAGTAAACTCTAATCCTTTTTCCTTTCATAAATATTATAAATATGTTATATTTTACAATAGACGACAATTTCAAAGCTATATTTAGAAAAATATTCCGTTCACGTGTCTAGCTCGTGATATTCATGTTCGACCCAAAGTCCCCGTCACGACTCGGACTCGTGAAAATAGGGGAAGGGTTTAAGGCAGCAACGAAGCTCTAATAATAAATATCTCGAAAACCATGGAATAGTTGCCGGTATAACGATATATTTTCTCGAACCGGATGATTAAATCTACAAACCCGTAAAGTTGCGACTAAATCTATGACCCGAGAGACTCGCACTCTGCTTGTTAGCCACGATGGAGAGACGACGAAGGCAATTACGGCAATTCGTGCGTGTGGTGGCACGAGTCACGGTGTGCATCCCCTTGGGAACGGATCGAGCGTTTCGCCGACGATTGTCGCGGAGGAATCGCGAATCGAGTCACGGAACGCGTGGTCCCCGAACGTGTATCCCGAAAATTGCAGGAAAGACGGGGGGCGGAGCTCGAGATGGGAGACGCAGGAGGCACGGTTCACCGATCCCGAGACTCGCGTGCACGTGATTTCGTGCCCGCTTCTGCCGTGTTTCATTCACGAGTGGGTGCCCCGAGCGAGATACGGTGAATGTTAACGAGGCAACCGGTGGTCAGCTGCTCGATTCTACCGAAGGAAAATAATGCACGTAGAAATTAAATTCCAGAATACGTATAGGTCTCTCTGGCAGAAGGCCGCTCGCACCGGATCCCGCTGCCACTCCTCTCGTCCGCTCGTCCTTGTCGTTCCTCGGCAATTCAACGCCGTCTCGTACGCTCGCGACGGCTCTCGAATTTTCTATCTCCGCGTGGAAACGCGCCGTTCGAAAAAGTTCCAGAGGAAACCGTTCGTGGAGGAATTCTCGCCACCGGTATCCGCTTCGTCACGTTCGTATTCGGCCGATCCCGAGCCAACGGCCATAGGCCTCTCTATCCGTCCTATCGGGAAGCCTCTCTCGGCAGCCTCGGGGCCCCAGGAGCCACGAAAGGGAAAACTCGTAAACGGAGACACGCGAGTACTCTGGAGCGAAAGGTTGGCTCCGGTGCGAAAGGTCGGACACGAACTCGATCGCCATCGGGGACAGGTTCGAACGGACTTCATACGTGCATCTCGTCGGGACATTGTTCGGCTTCCTTCGCGAACGCGACCGCTCCACGCGATACTCGGCGCGATATTCCACGCGGAAGCGAATTATTCTGCTTTTTCCACCGTATGGTAATATTCGTCGATAGAACGCGCGGCGAGAAAACGAGCAGACCGGAGTTGGTCGGAGGATGAAACGGTGTCTGACAATGGCGTCGACACGACGAGGAGGTCCTTCGAGATTTGGCCGATTTTTGGCACCGATATTTGGCGAAATTTGGAACACGATCGAGACGATTTCGCCTCGTGGAAGCTCGATTCCGGGATATGGGGGAAGAAGCGCGGTAAAATGGACGACGGACAATGTTCGGAAGTTGTTCGGACGTTGTTCGGATTGGAGGAGGACGACGAGATCCTCCGTGGGATAAGGGACTAGGTACGCCACTGTGGCATAAAATTTATGACCACGATCTCTCGGCCAGGCTATTCGTCAGGGACGATCGCGAATCTCAATCCCGTGGCGTGTACCCCGTCTTGACAGGGTACGGCTGAGAAAGAGGGAGACAGGCCACGAGCGCGGTTCGTATTACGGCAGATCCGGTAAGATCTGTGCTCTTTGTCAGCGGGCAAGAAACCGACCAAGAACCACCTTACTCTTCGCTGCAATTTGTCCTCCGTGTTTCTTTATTATTCGACCCACGGAAACGGTCCCGCGTTACCCTAACGTCCCACCGTTTATCCGCTCCTCTCGAAGACCATCGATCCCCCGTTTTTTCCCACGCGCGTGTCCACTCTCGATGTGGGTATACGTTGACGATACCGATGTTCGCGATGGAATTTCGTCGCTTCGCGTCTGCCTTCTTCTCCTACGATGCTTGACAACCCGTTGACCGTCATACGTATCCTCCGAGTGTTTATTCAGCGCCGAGTACGTTAAATCTAGCGATTATAAAGCAAGCTCGATCCTCGATCCTCGATACCGATCGCCCACGTAACGCGTAATAAAGCCGGGGCGAACGAACGGACGAAGGCTGAACCTTCGGAGAGGCTTGAGCAACGAGATGTCACGAGCGACTGAGATCCTCCCCCTCCGCAATTAGCGGTTGCATAACCGATCGGTATCTCGTAGGATCCGTCTGTCGTTGCTTCTCCCTCGACCTTTGATCGCGACAACGATCCTCTGATCGACGAGGAGCGCAACGCGTCGTGACCACCGCGCCTACCCGCGGAATCTCATCGCACGGTGACACAACCCTTGGACGCGCGGTGTCGCACCGCGGCATTTCGTTCCGCTAGCCTATTGTCGTGGATCCAGGCCAAGATCCTACGACCCACTTTGCACGATCGATTGCTACCAGCTCTCTCGATCCCGGCCCTTCGCGATCGCGTAACCGGCGCTCCTCTCTCGGACCAGGTGCCCGCTCTGCTACCAACGCGGTCAGACTAATCTGTATTCCCCCGGGAAACCGGCCGTTTCGTTTCCTCCGCGATTTACGAGCTTTCTATCCAGCATTCCCGATACCGGGACGAACGACGAGCTGGTCGTTCGATTGAAATGCGAGGTGGAGTTATCGGCTACTGGCGAATTCCGGCCGCGTCGCCTGCCTAGCCAGGCAATTAACGCTGAACGAGACAACAGCTTTTCCACGATCCCGCTTTCAAAAGCGTTCTTTCTACGTATGTATTATGTATTTCGTTCGAATCCGTGTGTCCCGATTCCGCGCGCACGATCGTCCGTGGGTCGAGGCCTGAAATCGTTGCTCGTAAAAATAGCCGGCGAGGGTAATTAGCGTCGATTGGAGTTGCTGCTACCGTTGCGGCCACGCCATACGGATAACCCCTTTCCCTCGAGCAACCATCGGCCAGCCTGCGGCCACTTTAGACCCAGCCGGTCGTACAACTAGCCGAACGACTACGAGGTTAATTGAACTCGATTAAAACCGAAGCGATACCGAGCGATCGCGTGGCTTCTTCAACCGGGCCGCGATTTCCTTTCCGCGTCCACGGCCCTCTAACCCTAGCCCCTTTCTACTCGCGGTCGGACGCTTCGCGTTCACGAATAACCCATCGTCGACCGTTCTTTTCTTACAGACGACGAACGTGGGCGGCGGCAGCGTGGTGGAAAAGCTGTCCTTCTACAACCACACGGAATGCGAGTGCCGGGAGAGAAGCGAATACGACACGAGCAACGAGAAACCCTCCGAGCAGAGAGTCTACAGGCACCATCAGTCCTCCCCGCAACCTCAGAACATGAGAAGGGCACAGCCGAGAAAGCCGTGAGTTCTCTCTCCGCGATGTATACCTACGGCCCGTTCCATCCATCGGCTTCCAATCGCAGCCGAACAGTCGTGCAAATCGTGCCTACGCTTTTCTCTCCCTTCCCTTTCCCTTTCCCCTTCCCTTTACCCTTTCCCTTTCCCTTTCCTTTTCCCTTGCCTAGTCTAGCCTGCCGTGCACTAGCGCCATCTGCCTCGACGATGACTGCCCGGATCGCGACGAGTAATTTGTAATTTGGCAAATTGACCAGGTGCCGGTGTCCCTCCGAGTTCACGCCGAGGATCACGTCCGAGGGCGAGTGTTACTGCAATTGCTACGAGACCCATCAGAACTGCATCAAGATCAAGCGAGGGAAAGGCTACTTCTCGCTCGCCGATAGACTGTGAGTAGCCCGTGTCTGGTAACGAGTGTCCACTGGGGCCACGTGACGGCGTGAGGGTGCTCGAGCCTTGTGCGTTTCGTTTGCAGATGCATTCAGAACGAGGAATGCGCGACACCTAGCTGCGAGTTCGGCGAATACATGAGGCGACAGGGCAAGTGTCCGCGGAAGAAGGACAAGTTCGACGCGATCGCCAATTACCACACGAACATGAACCACCGGTACAGGAGCTAGAGCGCGACGGGAGTGCGACGGAGAGAAGCAAGTGCCAATGAAGAGAAACCGAGGAGAAAGAGGGAGAAGGAAGAAGTCGAGAAGCGCGCGCGCCGCGAATGATCGACGGTGCCATTTTCTTTACGAGTGCCTTCTGCGAGAGACTCGATTATGTATATGTATCCTTCGAGGCAGTTATATATAAACGTATTCTGCTATTTTCGGCGTCCATCTTGACGCCGTGTTCTGTCATCCCTAAATTTTTTTCTTTTTTTTTTTTTTTTTTTTTTTTTTTTTTTTTTTTTTTTTTTTTTTTTTTTTATTAATCTTCGATCGTTATCGTTATCGATCGAGAGAGATTCGATCGTGGGATGATTTCGAGTCGCACGCTCGAGAATTGTACGTTTCGATATTAATCGATATTAAGCCCTTCCTTTGATTCCTTGAACAGTGAAATGTCGACGATTAGAAGTAATAGAGGTTAGCTGCTAGTGCATTTGTTTGCGATATAGTTCATTACGCTCGATCTAGCCGCTGTTCGAGAATCGATAAGGTACTAGAATGCTTCGATCCTGCGAGTCGTATAGAATCGATTTGCTCGGCTGTCGTCGCAACTTCGTACATCCGAGAGAGACGCGACTACCCCTGACAGGCGTGTAATGGCCGCAACTTCGCGCGATCGGAGACTCGGTTGTCACAGGACCGCGGTCTAGTCCGAGACCCTGCCTCTATTCTGCGCCGAACGATTCTCCTCGAAAGTTCGATGAACCTGTACAGTCAATCGCTCGTACGCTGGACATCGACGACCGTATACCAAAGCGAGGAAACCGTAAACACGAGACGTAATTGCGCAGTAACCTAACGCGCAGATCTTCCGATGCAACCATATGTTTTTTTTCCCCCACGAGTACGAAGATGACGCGTAGACGTCTTATGAATTTGTCGAACAGAGCAAATCGAAAGAACCGAAACACGAATGGCGCGAGCATAGGGCGAATAATATTGTTTTCCGATGCATCCGACGCAGGATCATCGCCTACGTGTACAGATGACGGTCCTTCGAAGTATACGAGAAAAATATAATTTAAGTATACGAGAAGAGGAAACGAAGTGAAGCACGACTGGCTCGATGTGTCGCTCGATGTGTCGCTCGAGCCATAAATATTTCGTATCGCGACCCCTAAACGTGTTTTGTACGCTTTTATATACATTATTGTAGTATGTACGTACGTAGTAGCCGACTTGATCCCGAAACCAATTTGATAGCTGATCCAGCATTTACGAGCCAATGGAAACACCGTGCACAATCGCGTGTAGATCGAATTCACTTGCACTGCACTTACACTGATTTTCGCTTGCAAAACTTTTCACGCACGTCCCGGTTCGAACTGTCGCCATTTCTAACATGGCGGAAGCAAAATTTCGCGTAGATGGCGTTCGATCGCGTTATTTATCGCGCGCTATTGGCTATTCGATTTTTCAAGCTCGATCTACGAACGAATGTACGCGGTAAATCGATAGCGTTCTTCCGATTTTTTTTGTCCCGAATATTCTATTACTAATCGCGAGAATGTACAGAACGCTATTCGACATTTAGCTTGCTGTTGTACTCGCTACCGATTCTAGGCAATATAATATATAGACGTAGGCAACAAAACAAGCAGTAAAGTTGTATAAAGAAATTCATGATTATCGTTTCAATAAAATCGCAACTTACTTTTAAGTGAATTTCATGCAGTTTCGTCTTATTTGGCTCGGCATCGATGGCGTTAACATTCACCTTGCTCGATAAAAACTCGTAAACTCGACGTTTTCTACATTCGTTGAACAGAACGAGAATTGCGTTTCGCGCAAGTCGTCATACTGAGCTCCTAAAGGTTATACTAACGCCATCTAGGAGCCATATTTGTAAACGGTGCTTCTCTCGATAGATACTGCACAAATATTCCAAATACGTTTTAAGAAATTATTATTCGTAATATTACTCTTTTCTGCATTTAATTTTATTATATTAATAAATCTTATACTTATTCCAATAATCGCTATTCCTTTCCATATATATGTGTACTTTACTATCTTACATTTAAAGCGAACGTTATCAATCATAGATGGCGACGAGACGAGTTTGTCGGTGTGTTTTTGTATACTTCGTAACGTGAAATGTCAGGCATGAAATATCAAGTTCAATAAAATACGAATAAAACATGAAAATTTCTACTCGTACACGATAAATCTGTTTGTAATTTCTTCGTTTTATGTGGTGTTTCATTTTTATTAGTCGCAAATCGAAAGTAAATTATACCCCTATGTACGATTACTGTTATGTAAAATAAACATATGACCAATAAACTCCAATGATATTTTCTACTATAATTACTTTTAATTCTATTGAATTTTATTATTAAGAATTCCAACTGTAGAAAGTTGACAAGAAGTTGTAATTATGGAAACTGCTCAAACTTTATATCTTAACCTCTTTGGTGAAGATAAGATTCATGTTTTAAAGGAAGTAAGTATGTCAAGAGTGCAATTACTATTTTCCCTTTCCTTTTTATTCTTCGAGTAATGTCGTTAATCGTTAAAAAATTAATGCACGTGATTTAGTTGCTGCATGCTTGCGCAGATGAAATATGTGGAAGACCAGGACCGACCTATCATAAATTTGTAAACAGTATGGACTGGAGTAGGGCAGAGTACGAAGAAACATACAAATTAATATCGATGCTTCTAAGAAATCCAGCCTCTTTGTATTTACTGGAAGAGAAGGTGTAATTGATATTTCCATAAAATAAAATCCAACCTTCTTCTTGATACGTAAAATTTAAATGTCCTTCGTAGATGCCACAAGAGTATCACGAATTACCAGAACCGATTCAACAGAATATATTGTCCTGTTTAAAAGTGAGAAGAGAACAATTGACGGATGCTCTGTTAAACAGGTACTCTAAAGAGAAACAAGATACCGTAACAGATTTTGACTGGAGGTTAAAGGTAAACTATCCAAAAGATGCAAATGAAAGAGAGTATGGTTTATTAATTGCACTCTTATCGTAGCTTGTAATGGGCTCTAGCAAATTAGCATCATTGAGAGAACCTCTTCTTCAGTTAGACCTCATTCTCGAAAATAAGGAATCGAAACGTATCTTAGACTTGGAATTAAACAAGGATGAACTGGATACGTTCATAAACGCAATGGAAAGTATTGTACAATAACTTGGATGTAAAGAAAGAAATTGCGAATAAAGATTTTTTCTGATCAACGTGTACGATATATCGTAGTAGATTTCCGAGATGAAATAAAAACACATGTTCTTACACTTGTTTCACAGTTTATTATAGGTTATAGATAAATGTAGAATAGTTTAATTACTATTATAACTGCTCATCGAAGATACTGAAGACTGTTGGTCTGTGTCTGAGGCACCATCGACTCAAAAATCTCATTTATAATTTTGTAATTCCGGCGCGCAAAATAAATAAACGAGGAGGCTTGCGTCGATGGGGCCCCAGGGTTAACGATCGATAGTTCGAGTGCACAGATCAGTCGGGTTGAAGGAATTTTTTTTCGTTTTTTTCTTCCTTTTTTTAAATAAAAAGTTCGCTCTCGTCGCCAAAACTTGCCTCGAAAAAACGGTGAATTTCGTTGTAAAGATCATTACGGACAATATATTTAATGAAAGGTTTACTATACAACTTTTAATTTTACCTCTTTCTCCTTACTCATTAATATATCGTTTAAAAATCAATGCCGGTCGCGGGCACAGTGAACGCTCGCTCCATTAACACTTACATGTATTCTGAGATTTTGGAGCATTTACATATATGCGCTTTTCGTTTAACTTTACGATCTACGCTACGATCTTAATAAAAAAAAGCTTTCGTAGGTAATTATTTACTTCTGGAGATCCGTGGAAACGAATCCGTTTCGGGTGGTAATTGTGCATGTTTCGTAATTGTAATTAGGCGATATTTTAATGATTATTATAAAATTACGAATAGGCTTCCTCGTAAGTATTCTCATATGGAGAAGTAGCATTTCGAAGGACAAACGCCGAATTTACACAAACGCTTTCTCTATGTCTAGATTATATATCACTTACACTGTCTCGACATACTGTATGTTTTCCTTATCTCGTGTGTTGCATGATACGTATGTACGCATTCGCGTATAATGTCCTTGCATGTGTGTAGTTGTGTCGTGTGCTCGCGCGTACCAAAGTCATACGTAGAAGTGTGCAGTTCCTCGTTACAACATAAAACCTCTCGATTGTACAATTATAAAGAAAAACAAGGACCGCGAAAGAAATACGAGCAAAAATAATCGACTGTCCTTGAAATCGCGACGCGAGTGTTTCATTACTCGTGCGTTCTGACATATCTTTTAATAACTTTTTTTTCCTTGCTCTGCTTTCTCTCATCCTATCTCGCCTCCGTTCCTGTTCACACTCTGGCGAAGAGACGCATTCCAATTGTTCTTTCCTATTTCCCTTGCTTCTTCTTTCCTTCACACTCGATATTCATTCTCTCATTCCCCTTTCAAACTCTATCCTCTCACGCTTTCTCACGCATTCGAACGTAAACGCACGCCTTCTTCTGTCAGTCTCTGATCTTTCCTCTTTTTTTTTTTTTTTCGTTTTTTTCTTTTTTTCTTACAGTTTTCTCGTTCTTTATACTCTCTCGATATAGCAATATGTAGTAGTTACGAGAGGGCGTGCCTCGATGAGTATTTTTTTTCTTTTCTTTTCTGGAATACGCAACAAACGAAGTTTTCTTCTTTATCGTTATTTATTTATTCATTCTTTTCTTTTCTTTTCTTTTTTTTTTTAATTCGAATGTTCGTTCGTATCGCTTGTCCGCCGCGCGATGGTCATATAGTACGACTTATGTATAGCAACAATGACAGTTTTTGAATTTTTACACAGCAGGGCCTGGTGTTTGTTACGACGTTGCAGATAAGCATGGCCCAACGTTGAAAAGTATTCGTTTTAATTCGAGTCGAGAAAGAAGAGTAAAAAAAAAATCACCCGCTTGAAGATACCATCCGCGAACGGCACTACACGTTTTCGGAATCAAACGTATTTTTTTTTCTTTTATTTCTTTTTTTGTCTCTTTTCTTTTTCTTATCTGGCTCGTCCTCGTAACCCCGTTCTCTTCGATGATACGACCTCGGTTCACAGATCGTGAACACTCACTCA